AATAATTGTTGAATGGATAGCAGCGGATGGGGGCTATGGTTCTAAAGTTTTCAAAATTAATTTTGTGACCTGTATGAAGATGGTGTTGACCTAGAGCTAAAATTAAGTCGGAAGTACACCCCATTCTTTTCTATAAACCAAGAATTATCCAAACAGTCATAGAAATTGAAATAAGGCCAAATTTTCTCAATAAAAGAGATGGTGGCATACGGTTACCTTCGACATGGAGACCTGTCATGAAGAAAATATCGTCCACCTCACCCGCTAATCAAAATCTTATAGTCAGAAATGTTTACGTCAACCCTCGAGCCAATCCCCGCGCTAACCTCACGCCAACCTCCACCCAAACCACGTCACTATCGACGGTGTAAATAAACTGTCCTCTCCGCCATACAATATTAAAATAAATAGACATAGTTCAAAATACCGCACTGAGAATAGTCACAGAAGCTTTTCTAACATCTCCTGTAGAAAGTTTTCAATGTGTAACAGAAGAGTTACCCTCCATTTAAGAAGAAAATATCTTAGTCTGTCTATCTTATGCTTAAATTTAAATAATTTTTTTTTTATTAGAAAAAGATGTCGCATCCACCAAAAGGTTATTAGCGACGGAACAAAATATAAACAATAAAGTTAAACACCTACAGATTGTACAAAATGTTTATGGATCTAAGATTATTCACTATATTGTTACAAGAACAGTTTTGACCTAGAGCCTGTAGTAGAGCGTTTGGGATCTTGCAGCGCTGTCTTTCTTGGTCATATTTACTACAAATTGTTAAAAAATGTTCGACTGTTAATCGGACGTTACACTGATCACATATAGGTATTTTTCTTTGTAAAAAGGTAGGAGTACGTTAATCTGGTATGTCCTAGACGTAAACGCGTAACCGCAATTTGTTCTCGTCTATTGAGCGACGATGGAAACCACTGAGAAACATTATTTTTGATTTTATTTAGATTGGAATTAGTTTGAGACCACTCATTTTGCCACAAACACCACACTTTATTTTTAAAATAAGCTTCTAAGTCACTAAAAACACACTTGTCTATCGGCTTTGACAAATCACTTAAAATTGCCTCTCGTGCAGTCCTGACAGCTTCTTCATTTCTTGTTATTCCGACGTTTGAGGGAACCCATAAAAGTTGGACGCTTCTTCCATGTTTATAAGAAATAACAATATCTGGAGAATATTTAGATAAAAGAAGCTGTAGCATAGGGAGACGATGAAAAAATCCATCAATGTTCCATTGAAGTATCGAGTTGAATGTTATTAACAGATTCGGAGTTAGACGATACCAAACAATTGTCTACAGAAGAGTCACTATCTAAGTCAGAAATCTCTTTCTCTAAATGGTTATATAGTTTCTTTTAAAGTTATGTAAACTTGCTTTTTGTAGATCTATCATTTGCATATTGATAGCTGCTTTGTAATAGATGGAGTAAACCATCGATTTCAGTTGTAAATTCTTTGACGACGCTAATAGTGTCGGAGGAGCCTTGGACATTATCAATCAGTAAGGACCATTGGTGGTAATTTAAAACGAATGGTGGGGTATGATTATCAATGAAATTTTCAAGAGTTTCCCGTGTAGATGGGACTTTATATGAGTGCGGTTTTTTTTTGGTTTAGAGGGTTTGGGTTTTGCAAACAGATTTTCTGATGAAATTACTGAGTCTGCAGGAGGCGTGACGATCTCACCAATACTGCGTTTTATGGAAGAACTTGTGTTTTCGGAATTGTTATTAGAGTTTTCACTTAGATGGTGTGGTTTTATTACATTTGGAAGTACTGGAGCAAACTCCTTGGTAGTGACAGAACTCGAGCTTGAAGTTTTATTTGTAAGATTGGTTGAAATGGTTGTTTCAGAAAATTGTCTTGATG